GGAAAATGCATGGGAAAGAAGAGCCCGCATCAGCAGACATAACAACCAGACCCCGAACCCAAAGGCCGCAGTCCACGAAAGCTAAGTTACCACAAAATTACAATAACGACAGTAATAAATAGAACCTTGTTTCAGAGTTCAGCCGGTTAAACTCTCTCATCAACATGGACGAAATACTGCGTGCGATACGTGATCTTAAAAACATACTACAAAATCTAAACAGTCCTTTAGACATATTCATTGCCTTCATTGATTTTACGAAAAACAAATACAATATATAAATTTAAACGACAGACAAATAGACTAAGGATAGCGTCTTGAAACGCAAACTTCCTTAATCCATTTCCTATATTTCCGATATTTTATCTTTGGTTTTATATTTTGATCTTTTTTATTTTTTGTCAGTATAGTTTTTTTCCTTTGGTTTTGTTTCGTTGCAGGCTTTTATCAAAGTGCATATTTCCTTATTAATATTTGTAGATCTTTGTTGTATTTGTTTAGCTGTCTTTGCAGTTCTTGATCGTTGTTTATTCCATAGTCTCTGTTTGTTTTTAATCATTCTTAAGATGAAGGATATCATATGGTAGTGTGTGAAGGTTTCTATAGTTTCCATTAATTTTTAGAATTTATGTCCAACGTTTATGTTTATTTCTATAGCCAAGAACACATATGTGTTCTTAATTAATTAATATTATTTTTACGTTTTTTATTGATTTTCAAATTATTAAAGGTTCCTTTTGAAACACCGCGTATAGAAGACTTTTTTTTATTTGACGCTTATCCAATCGCGTCCAATTCTTATGAATAAGGAAAAATCCTTATCAATAAGAAATTTTTCTTGGCGACGCGTTGCGTACGACTACCATTGTGAATAATTCTTGTGCGATTTTTTATTTTAAAAATTTGTGGTTTAGCCCATGCGATCTCACATTATTATGATTGATAGAAAAATTAAACTTTAAAACTTAACTTAATATTAAATTACACTGTAGGGAGATGAAAATATAACATCTAAACGCTCGGACACGTAAACTTAATTTTTGGTCGTAGATTACAAGTCCATGCTTGGTTTAGTTGTATCAGGTCAAAATTTAAAGATATTGGAATCACCCTGTATAAATTTAAAAAAAATCAATTTAGCTGGACCCATACATCAGTTCCAAATTAAAAAAAAAAATCTTGCAAAATTTGAAGTTAATGGGGTAGTTAAATTTTTTCTGACCTATATTTTTTATGGTTTTATTCAAGGCGTTTTGTAATATAAAACATTTCTGTGAAATCAGAATTTCAATTGAGTTTACCGTTTTCGAGATATTTACAAAAAATATAAATTTTTATGACGTCACAAACCCCGCCATGTGACCAACATTCTAAGATTTCTATTGGTTAAAAATTACCCTGTTGTCAAGTTGTCTTGTTAATGATTTCATTCGGTTATGTCAGAAAATACCCGAAGAGGTTATGTACAAATACTGTCACTGTCAGTTGAGTGAAAGAAGAAGAAGAGGAGGTTAAAGAAAATTCTAAAATTAAAAGTTTTATTGATAGGGTTACACATTGAAACACCGTGTGAAACCTAATAAAATGTAATAAATAGGTACCTAATAACTGTCTAAAGCAGAGTTTAATATATTTCATAGAAAAAAGTGGCAAAATAAAGCTGAAAATGAATGAAATAAATTTACAAAAAATAATAATATATCTAAAAGAATATAAAGAACTAGGCATTATACTAATGAAATGCATTTACGACAAAATATGATTATAATTATAGGTAGGTACTTACTTTATTTGTTTAAAAGTTCCAATGTTCAATGTAACCAACCATTCCACAAGATTTCTCTGCTTTGAAGTCCGTTATTAATAAATCACTTATCTAATATCAATTACAAATAACATAGCAATAACATTGATTTTCAATAATCTAAATTTAAAAAAAACAACCCGAAAAAAAAAAACGTCAAAAAATCAATTCTTCTTCTTCTTCTCAACTTAAATATTATAACGTGGCGCCATCTATCGCAAGAATCTTAAACTAAACACACTGGCAACTATAGAAAAAGCTGGCAACGTTGTCAATAGCCTAGTGACGTAATTAGGAGAGTTTGTTTTGTAAATATCTCGAAAACGGTAAACTCAATTGAAATTCCGATTTCACAGAAATGTTTAAATTTACAAAACGCCTTGAATAAAACCATTAAAAGTATAGGTCAGAAAAAATTTAACTACCCCATTGATCAAAAGGAACAGGTTTCCCTGAAGGTTTTTATAGATAATTTAGGAAATTCAAAATGTTTTTTTGCTGATTTTTTTTATTGATTATATTAATTGAAATGTTGGCACAAGATCTCTGGAGGTGAAACTATTTTAGACCTGATACAGCTAAACCGAGCGCAGATTTGGAATCTACGACCGAAAATTATAATTAATAATTAAGTAGGTATGTTTATACGTGCACGGCCAAGCGTTTAGCTGTGATATTTCAAAAGTTGATAATTTACCTATGATATAAACAAATTTTAACTTTTTATTTTTTAAACTATTTTAGAACATTGTTTTCTATCCTTTTATTTAAATAAATAGTTAATAGTAAAAAAAATAATTTGCTAACCCTTTTATCTCAAAAAATAATTGCAATTATTGCATGCATAATAATAAGTCCGGGATCCCGGTGATTTTCCGGATCAAAATTTTGTCAAGATCCCGGGATTCGGTATCTAGGGATGTAATGCCCAAATTATGACCTCAAAATACAGCCTTAAAAACTTTGTAGGAAATTTTGCAAATTATATGGATGACCACCCGGTCAACATTTAACGTAAAACGGTAAGGAGTCACATTGCAATGTAACGACGTTGCTAAAATGCAACGCAACAGGTACCTAAAATAATGGTAACATTGTTACCGTTCCAAGTTAACCTCACAGCAAACGAAAAATTATAGAAGTGTATAGGATGACTCCGCGTTTGAATATCAAATCTTAAAGTTTTATCATAACTGTATTGAATCGTGCTTTGTTTTTATATTTTTCGGCTCTATACCTATGCACGACTATATTTAAAGTCAAACTCAATGGTGTCTTACAAGATACATTATTTTGATTTTCTATATTCAACAGAGGAGTAGAAACTCGACCCTGTCGAATGGTGCAGTCATATATGTCTCTAGAAATTATTAATAAAGGGTTCAGTCCAATGGTGCAGCAACTTCGGATTCCTATTCTCCTCAGAGACATAGAAACTCAAGCTTTTCGAATTTTACTGGCAATGATTTTCGTTAATGTCCCCGATAATTATACAAAAACAGCGCAATGCAATATCGCAACGGTTTCGACTTCTCTTTACTCTACCAAGTTATAGAAACTGGAGTCTCTCTAATACTGTTCTAGTCAATATTTCTGAGATTATAAAAAGAGGGTGTAATATTGCAAGAAGTTTTGATCTTTTGATGGATTAATTTTCTCATTTCTCCATATGATATTGTTGAAAATAGTTCCTTTCTTTGGTTCCTTTGTCTGATTTTTATTTACCGTAACAACTCAGGTATACCATATATGTAAAGCACAGAGGATATGATGTTAAGTATATATATATTTATGATTTATTATCTATGATTTATGTATTATATAAAGTACCTATATTTGTATTAAAAATTTAAGAGGTTATGTTGAAAAATGATCGATATGCTATTAAACTTTAATAATTTAGTAATTAGGTCTGTTGGTAGACCCTGCACTATCTCCACTGGTATATGTTAGTTTTGTAATATTTAAATCTGGTTGATGAAAAAGTACACACCAGTGCAGGTTATTGTAGCATCTACGAACAAATGAATTAATGGCCCATTGGCAATTATTCCTTTAGGAAAAATATTCAACACAGCTTAATTAATTAATAAAATGAAAAAAATCACAATCATGTCGTATATAGTTTTTTTTAAGCATAAAATAATTTTTATATTAATACTAGTTCAAAAGTGAAATTACGACCTCTATACTGTGGAGAGTATTGAAACGCTCGACTGACGAATACAACTCTATACCGTAGGGAGATTTAGAAATCGATATTCAAACGTGGCGTCATCCTATACACCTCTATAATTTTCCGTTTGCTGTGCTACAGGTAATATAACAAAAACGTAACATTGCGATACTATTGTAATGTAACAAAATTACCAATAAGCAATATATCAGCAACGTAACATTGTGAAACTATTGTAATGTAACAAAATTACCAATAAGCAATATAACAGCAACGTAACATTGTGAAACTATTGTAATGTAACAAAAGCAATATAATAGCAACGTAACATTGTGAAACTATTGTAATGTAACAACATTATCAATAAGCAATATAACAGCATTGTAACATTGCAATACTATTGTAATAAGTTTGTTACGTAACAGTTTACATCTCGCTCGTGTTACCACCTCGGCTAGGGATATAAACGAAGTTAAGACAGCGCACCATGTCCATTTGTCATTGGACCTCAAACAGTCTGCCTGATTTTGGTAAAATCAGAATACGATATTATGTTTCATTTGATACGCTTTAGCGTTAAACTGGCGGGACTTTCTTATGTCGAGCATAATAACGTTGCAACGTAACAATGTTACATAACTGTAAAGGCCATGTTATGTAACATAATTATGTTAAGTTAACTTGGATTGCGAAAAAGTAACGGCAACGTAACATTGTTATGTAACTATAATGTTACATACTACGATTGTTGCATAACATTTTGGTTAATGTTACGTTACAGTTAACATAATTATGTTACAGTTAACATAATTATGTTTCATTTTCATACCGGCAATATAACATTGTTATGTAACAATGTTACTCCTATGAGTGGGAAATAGGAACCTATTTGCAACCATCAGATTATGTAACTGTAATGTAATCACAATCTTTACATAACATTTTGGTAAATTTTACGTTACAATGTTGACCGGGCAACGTATGAAAATATAAATGTATGTTTTTATGCTACATACTTGCCTTTATCATCATTATTTCCATAACATTCCAGAGTAAAACCTCTCCACATAAGCACACCGGCTTCACGATACTGCCCATAAACCACGTCATCATTCGTAAGCGCAGCTGCGCTTCCAATATGGGCAGCTTCTTCACCGTAATTTGTCATATAAAAGCTGATCCTACCCTGTCTTTGAGATTCGTACAAAATTTTATCCATAATGCTTAATAATGTCATATCTTTGTACATTTTTAAAATTGTGCCGTCAGGTAAATTAGGGTCCTCAGATTCCCTGATTATGTTGCCTCTTCGATCCATTACTCGGTACACCGGAATCGGTTTTGATGTTTGTGTAAACTCCAGGGTTTCGGTCCATGTTGTTTTCGCCCCAGGAAAAAGTGGTTCACTTGATAATGCAGCCTTAAAAATAAGAATTTTCTTAGTACGGCCATGTTGCATTCCGGATAACCTCAAAATATTGGTAATAAAAATATTTTCATATTATTTACTTAATAATCTATTAAAAGTAGGGGCTAGATACACAATTTGAGTATATTTTATTTACCTTTACTTGGAAATTCAATTTGGTATTACAATTTCTTAGTAATCTTGCACTATTTTTTAACGCCATATTTAACGAGTATTGACCTTAAATTTGAATATTATCGACTTATGGTATTTAATTATGAAATACTTGCGCGTATGTAATGTTAACTGTTTATTTTTTCAAACTGATAAGGATTTAGGTGCACATTTAACTAACTTCTAGCCGGTGCCCCAACATCGATCCCGACTGGACAAAGAATTTATTATATATTATACAATGCATCATTATCATTTAAAATTGACGGCACAACAATAATATAATAATAAATTGTACCTGTATACATGTTAAGGGCACGTTAGTTACGTAATAAAACCAAACCAACCCAAACTCAACAACACAACCCAACCGACCCCGCCCCATTGGCCCCCCCCCCGCCCCATTGAGCAAAAAACCCAACTAAAATGGGCAAATTTATGTTACGATAAAAATAAAACACTTTTTAACAAAGGAACAACAAATTTATGAAATAAAAAAGTAAAAAAAATTCGACAACTTCTGAGTAATGAACCCGGGACCTCTCGCATGCAAAGCAAACGCCCTACCATCTAAGCTATCTAGCTTGACAACAAATTTTGTATGTTCGGGGAACAAAACCGGATTATTATTATGACGTCACGTTATAAGGCGGTTCGTGCCAGCTCGTGAGAAGTCGGGATCGATGTTGGGTCACCGACTAGAAGTTTCTGCACATTTATATACACTTGCACAATATTATTAATCAGACAATTTACATAGGAATGTACAAAAACAATTGTTTTTTTTATACCGAATTTTTTATTTAAAAAATTAAAACTAAAACATTTTTTTTTAAATAAATAAACAAAAAATAATTCTATTTAAAAATAAAAAGGCATGCCGGCAACCATTTACTCATCTTCAGACAATTCATCATCTGAATATTCAGAAACAAATAATAAATTTTTAAGAGATCTGTAGAAACTATCTTCATCCTCTGCGTTATTAATAATTGTATTAACAATCTCTTGGCCACTTTTTATTTCCTCTGTCTCCATTTGTTCTTCAGCTTCTTCATCTAAACAAGATAACAATATTAGAACTTTTGACTTGAAAAGCATACCTATTACAGTTTACAGAGTGCACCACTTATTTTTTTATAGCTACCTACCAAGTTACATCAGAGATGTATAATTGCGTAATTATAATATTAATATGTTAACATGGAAAATTTACTTTTTTTTAAATTTCTAGGAATAAGGTCCTTATTACAAGGAAGTTAAAACGATTTTTGGTTTTGGTTATTAATTTTCAAATTTAATTTTAATAGGCTTGTATAATTTTGAAATAAGTAAATTTTCCATGTTAATTTGAGAATCGCAGATTTTTTTTTTCAATTTTAAAATGCAATTTTAATAGACTTTTCTAATGCAATTTTAATAGACTTTTCTATTAGTTCTTGGTGCGACGACGAACGACAAAATGGAAAGGCCGCAAAATTAAACATAAATTGGAAGATCTTTTCAGATGGAATAGAAAATAGCGATTAGGTTTCCATCGCGGAAATTATACAACCAGAGGGAGAAATCTCCTGAAGTTTTTTAGCCTCAATTGGAACTCACCAAGGCCCGATTAATAAAAGAAATGGAATAATTTGTTAATTGGGGTAAAGGTGGCTACAATCTACAAATTTCTAAAAAACATTCCCTCAACTTGTGTGAATTCCGAAATATGTTGTTTGTTCAGAAGATTGAAAAATGGCTAGGGATTGACACCCCTAGTTTGGATGTAGTTTTTATTTAAACCTTTTAAACATTAAACATTGTCTTCCTGAAAATTTGACGAAAGACTGTGCAATTTTTGATTTTTGTAGCAAATTTTAAGCTGATAAACAAATAAAATGCAGTCTTTCTCCACCTCAAGATACAAAAAAGTTGTTGCAATTTAGGCGTGAAATGTCCTCTTTATTTATTATTTACCTACTTTAAATAATAAAAAAAACTTAAAATTAAATAATCGAATGTTTTATTGTAACAAACACAAAAATACCATACCTGAATCCAATACTTCATAGAGCCCTTCATGTCCTTTTAAAACCACATAAATTGTAGGATACTCAATAATTATTTTTTTATGTAGGCACTCCTTTAGAGTCATTGTGACATCCAGCTCATAAAACTTTTTACCACCTGCTTTTTGTTCAGCTTTAAGATACAAATTAATGCCTGGCAAACCAGCAGATTGATAAAACTTCAAACTATTTTGGAGATTTTCATTATCTTGCTTTAATAAAAATTTATTTATTATTGAGCTTAATTTTTGGTCTTCAGGCACCATTCTATCAGTGATTTTTAAGTTATTTGCATTTCCAAATATCCAGTCTATATGCCATGATATGGTATTTTGGTTTATGTTAAATTTGGTGCTATTTCTTTTATGTCTGGCAAATTCATTGGGTAAAAATTTTAGGTTTACTCTACGAGCGGTGGATGCATCTTTTAGTTTAATCAAACGCTAAAATTAAAAAAAAATTATTTTAATAATTCTGAAAAGTGTTATTTTCTTAGATGGTACATATTGACATTTTTACAGGATGTATCGTATCAACGCCATACCATGCTACAAAAGGAGTATTTTAAGTAAAAAAATACAGATTTTTTTCTATGAAGCAATTGCAAGTTATGAAGCATTTGAGTTTAAATAAACTTTGCCACTCTGTATCAACTACAACTATTAGGCTGAATATAACAAATCTAGTTAAATCATCAGATTCAGGCTTAAGCCAAATTTAGAAGGGTTGCTATGGAAACAAAATAAACCAGACATCTAGCAGCTATCTGGTTGACAAATGTATTTTTTGACAGTTTGTGTTAAAAATACAAAATTAATTTAATCATAACCTTCTTATTATTAACAAATTATAACTTTTTATTTTTGGAACTTTAATAATAAATTTTATAGAAAATTCAGTTCAATCCTTTTATATATTTTTCCGACAGTAGTTTTTAAGTTACCTACCTATAATTATAGGTAACTTATAGGTAAAATTCAATTTGTTAATCTTTAAAGATTCAAAAATTGAATTTTACTGTTTTTAATTTAATGTTTTGAGACTATTTAAGGATGGAAAACAATTTTCTAAAGACCTTTAAAAGATCAAATTTGTTTGAATTTTTTGTTACCAAACCATGATAATTTCAGATTGCAGCAGATGATTTGTTTACTTTATTTTATTTTCATTACAACCGTTTTGAGATGTGCAATATAATAGCTTATAAGCAAGTTTTTCTTTTAATTTCTTTATCTTTTGTATTAATGCTACTGTTTTTGAATAAAAAAAATCATGAAAATTAGGGTAAATATTAAGCATTTGATGGGCAGACACTGGTTTAGTCGCGTCAGCAACAGCTGTAGTCGGCTCGTTAAAATCATCGACAGCAGTACCAATAAAAACCATAACAACTGGCCGACTCTACTTAGTCCGTCGACCCCAATCGCTCACACGTTAGGTAGGTCATGGTTTAAACGAATCCAGTCACTGGATTCCAGTCTCGTGCAAATAAGGTTAATTTTCATATATTTTTTTTAATTTAAAATCAGAAGCACTAATGAAAAAGTGATAAGAGGAAAAACTTGCTTTCTTTGGCTTGAGCTATTGGATACCCAATGGATGACAACTTATTACATGGCACCCTGTATATACAGGGTGAGTTTTAAGTTGACGCGTTCCTTTTAACAACGTGTAGAAATCAGATATACAAATAAAAATTTTAAGTAACTTTTTTATGAAAACTCAAAAATAAGCGAGTTATAGCCCTTCAAAGTTTAATTAAATTTTGAGCCGGTCCTGGCTATTGTTAACAAAAAACATAACCATAAAAATAAAAATAACAAAATAAACAATGAAAATTGTCATCTATGACAACAAACATAACCATTTAAATCAAAATGACATTTAGCAATGAAAAATGTTATTATTTGCTTAAGTTTTTTTTGGGCCTCAATTATTGTTATAATGTGTCATTTTGGTTTAAATGGTTGTTTGTTGTCATAGATGACATTTTGCATTGTTTATCGCCGCGTCTAGAGTCCCGTCAGACGGTTCTCTATTGCGCTCCCGTTAACAGAGTGACGTCATCAAATGACGCAATCTTAGGACGGGAAGCAGATCTTCCTTAACCAACGTCCCGAGTCCGCCCGCTTCAAAACCAACCCAAACCCAACAACCCAACCCAACCGACCCCGCCCCATTGGCCCCCCCCCCGCCCCATTGAGTAAAAATTTTTCAACGAAGGAATATTCATTTAATTACATTTTATATTATATAACTAGCAAAATGATTATGAGGAAAGGTAAATAAATTAAAATATTATTGTAAAATTAAATATAAATGGTTTTAATGCCACATTGTATTATTTCGGTATATAAATTCTTTAAAAAAAAATTAAAAAAAGTTGTAGAGGCGCGAAGGATCGAACCCCGTACCTCCCGCATGCAAAGCAGGCGCCCTTCCATCGAGCTACCGAGCTTATTGTAATAATTCTATCGCTCGAAAAATAATACCTATTTACAGTGTGTGACGTCACAAAGTTTTAACGGGAGCGCAATGGAGACCCGTCTGACGGGACTCTAGACATTATGATTGTTTATTTTGTTATTTTTATTTTTATGGTTGTTTTTTGTTAACAATAGCCAGGACCGGCTCAAAATTTAATTAAATTTTGAAGGGCTATAACAATCTTATTTTTGAGTTTTGATAAAAAAGTTACTTAAAATATTTATTTGTCTATCTGATTTCTACACGCTGTTAAAAGGAACGCGTCAACTTAAAACTCACCCTGTATATGGGAAATAGTTGGTCCAATATTTGTAAAGTTGCCCATCCTTCTGTTTTGGTGGGAGGCTTTTCTAATAAATGTTCTGCTTCCCAACTAACTATTGAAAACTTCTAATTTTTGCTTTTTTATGAATTTTTCTAGACTATTTATTATTTTTTCTCTTTTATTAGATCAACTTTTGTTTTTCTGTTAATTTTTTTTATCTGCATTTATCAAAAATTGTTACTAGGTATGTAGTACTATATTTTTTTAGGTGAATACAGCAATGCATATGCATTGTGTAATTATTAAGTTAATTCACTTTTAAAGATAACTCCTTTACTTAAAATGTTTGGATGCACTCAGTCTGCATATTTTTATTGTGTGCAAAATTTCAAATAAATTTAAATTTATAAATTTTTAAGTGTGCAAAATTTCAATTGGATTGATGCATTATTTTTTGAGAAATTGTGCCTACCAACTTAAAAAATAAAGTTTTGAGAAAAAGAAATTATATTTGAAGTGTGTTTTCAAAGGCTCTCATTTTATAGTTTTACTCCAACTGACTTAAAATATTTTTGACGTGTACTAGAGGAGAGTTGAGTAATCAGGTCCACCAGGTAATCAGGCCCACCATATTATTATGGCTGTTGTTAGAGATATGTTTTAGATAACATTGAACATCTGAAGAATGCTGTCTTTAGTCTCTGTAGATTATTTAAAGTCTCTCAGGGGAAAATTGATCTAAATAAACAATTTTATTTTATCTTTTGCTTGCAAATCAATATTTAATACTTCTTCTTATCAGAATCATCATCGATATTTTTATGAAGATTTTGTTTTTTACACATAATTTGGGGTAAGGCCCCTCTGGTCTTTATTGCCTCAAAGTAAAAAAATATATATTTTTTATGAAGAAGCAATAGCTTTAACTCCTTTTTCTCTTGAAACTATACAAGAGGGGGTCCTCATTTCCCGACGCGGCGGATAATGAGGCCCTTTTGACTTTTTTTTATTTTTATAAATATGTGTTCCTTCTGTTTAAATAAAATAAATTTTTCAACGATTTGTGTTTTTTTATAATTAATTAAAGCTAAAATAACATAAACCTAAATAATTTCGTAAAAATAACTAAAATATGAGCAAAACTGCTTAAGGGGTCCTCATTACCCTCCCTGCTTAAAATACCCCATAGAGACCTATACAAAATAATCTATTGGGCGCTACTGGATTCATTTCCCTATTAAGACTGATAGCAAATAACTTAAAGAAGGATAAATAGGGATAACCCTATAGAGCAACCATAAAACATTCGACAAAATTTTATTAAAACCTATGAGGTCCTATGGGGGAAAAACTAATTACTACATTTATGTGTATTTTTCCCATTAAAATCAATAGCAAATAAATCAAGGGTGAATATCCCTATAGAACAACCATAAATCCCAACTATGGGTCCTATACATACCGATACACCCTATATGTAGAAACACCATACATTCCAATACAAATATCTATCGGTTTGAACAGGGTCTCTATGGGGTATTTTAAGCAGGGATACTCTCCCCTACTACTTGTCTACCAAAAACATATTTTTTTAAATTTTCAAATCATTGGTTTTAAAAATAATTATTTCTTACAGGTGGTATTAATTTTGGAAACTTTATATTTCTGCCAATTTTTTTTTTGGATGTCTCTAAATTTTTAGATATTTCCTCCAAAAGTCTTAAGTCGCTGGATAAATCCATGTTGGTAAACTTCTTCAATGGGATAAACTTGGCCCTATCCCTTTCTCCATTGCATTCGACCTCAAGTTTGTGGATTTTATTACATCTTAAAGAACAAGTTTTAACTTCGCATCTAGGACATGTGTATTTGGCATCGTGAAATCCACACACTTCACAATCTCCAAGTCTACGAAATTTTTATTTTATATTTATTTTACAAAAATTAAGCAATTCTTACCTTGATTTATCTATATTTGTATTCTGATCAGAATCAAATTTTATATGAATTGGCTTCTTATCGACTTCCATTTTTAAGATTATTGTAGTGTAATACCAGAACACGTTTTAAAAGACATAAAAAGTAAATATTTTTTATAACCACGTAAAAAAGCAAAGTTCTTTCAAATATTGCGTTTGAACTACAAATTTAATGATTTTGAACTACCCTACTTCCATAAACGTGGCAACTCAGCATATTTTGGTCAAAAATTCAGAGATATACCATTGAGAATGGATATACGATATATATATATAATATAATATATCTGAATATACAAATATTTTTTAAGTAAAGATAAATAACTAATGCATACCTATTATATATTATATACACGTTTATATATTTTATTCATAAATAGTAATATACGAGTAAACATTTCTTTGTAGAAGAGTATTAATTGATTTTTTACAAAGATAAAAATCCAATGCAGGCTAAGCAAAGTTTAATTATAATCTTGTAAAAAAGGTACAAAGATTTTCTCTAATCTAATGACAATGACTTTTATTTTAAAGAATACATAACTAACATTGGGTGACTAATTTGAGTGTGCTTACACCACATTTATTAATTATTGCTGAAGTTTTTGTTGGATTCATATAACAAATATACGGATTTTATTGTAAACAATATTAGATTATTTGAAATTATACCAATAGTAGATAGATTCCATAGACAAAGAATACCCGGAAATTCCTGACAGAGCCAAGGTCAATAAGTGAAGGTAGGTAACAAAAATAAATAACAAATTTGTATGAGTGAAATACGCGTATTTATAATTGTGACGAAAAGATTATTAATAGTTAATGTAAATAGGGATCCATCTATTTTTAATATGGCAGGTATTGCAGGTTGCAGTTCTGTCGGAAAACGTTTATTAAGATTTTTTTTTGTAGTAATTGAAAAGACTGAAAACCATGTTAAAATCGTCAATTCAGAATAAAATTTTAAAGGAATTGCCTGATGATAGACCTGTGACCTCTATAGTGGTAAATATATTGCTTAATATTATAAGTATCTATTTTTTAACATTTTATTTATAAAGATTATAGAAAATCTTGAGAAGTGTCCAAGAGGATTTTACCCTATCAGTAGGACCTATGATCAAGACCAAGACGCAGATTTAAGGGAAAGCTCAATTTTTAAAAGCAGCTCAGCAAGATATCTTTGTCTTTCTAAATCAGAAGGTGTGTTATTTATAAATTTATTTTTATATAAACATGACACTCCCTAACCTATAACCTCTACTATCTACAGGAATCCCAAATTTTGTGATACAAGAAATATTGGTTGTTGCTGAAAAAGCAAGCCCCCCAAAAGGTTTCAGCCTATTAAATAGAACAGCAGATACAGAACAAAAACCTTGGAGGAAAAAGCAAATTTGCTACAGATTAGTAAATCGAAAGGACATTAAAACTGCCATAACTGATATAATTGTCTGCAGTCGACTTAAGAAAGCCCCAGCTGGGTTTTCATTTGCAGGGTGAGTAATGATTACACTAGGCAACAATATTTCTTAGTTTTTAAGCTATTTTAATTAACCATTAAGTTTTTGACTTTGAAGTATTTAAAGAATGTTACCTATGTCAAATGTCCTAGAGTTTTAGAGATTGCAATCTCTAAAACCCATGGGTTATTAAAATACAGAATGGTTAAAGAAAATATTTTATTTCTTTAAAAAAATATATTGAAAATTGCTTTGTTGGTGACGTGAATGAACATCAATCAATTATGAACATTTTTAGAGTATCTATTAGTTCATAATTTAATTGGTATATTTTGGGTTCTAAAAACATGCTAGTGTCAGGAAAATGGGGTAAGGTATAATGCCTAGAACTGCCTAGGAAAGTCAGCCTCACAATAATGTTCCAAAGATTTTGGTATCAAGTTGCTAAAAGCTCTTATTTTAAATGTATAATAACAATAAAAAATTTCATAAATTTACTATGTAGTAAGTTTTATGCTTAATTTACGATTTTTTTAATTTTTTTTCAAGCAAACCATTGATTATTTTGAACCAACACAGTAATAGTAGTAAATATATTTTTTGGAAAAACCAAAAGGCTATCCACCTAAGTCTTTCTGCCTATATAAATACAATTTTATTTTACAAAATATTTGATATAATTATAAACTAGGTATATAAACTTAATTATCTTAGAAAAAACAATTATTGATATTAATCCATCTGTTCCAAAATAATTTTCCACAGGGATTTCACTGGAAATTTCCTTTTTTTGGGATGCCTTCTATTTCAGAAAAAATAAAGGGTTCCATTATTTCAAGGTTTGTACTTGCATTGCAGAATTTCTCAGGGAAGGTCTTCTGCAAGTTTGAAATATTATGGAACCGTAGTCCAACACTGGCCGACAGATCATTTTGTATATGGTGGTGTTGGAGTCAATAATCATTCCAAGATATTTAATACCTACTGTTTGTGGGTAATAATATTACCATAATATATGTTGGTTTTCTATTGAGATTTGTGGAGAGTCATCTTTAATTATGTGATTAAAAATAATGAATTGAGATTTCCTGGTGTTAATCTTTATTCGCCAACTTGCAAACCAATTAGAGATCATGTTAATTGACGATTGCAGGTTATTGAGAGATTATTAGATATTCTGGGCAGTCCAGAAGATAGAGTTTATATAACAAGCCTCTATGCTACACACTATCAAAAGCTTTGCTAATGTCAAGGAAAAGAGCTGTCAAGTGGTGTCCTATTATAATAGGACACCACTCATATATGCTGTGTTGCTGCAGATTTGAGACCAGGGTATTAGCGGATGTCTTGTCGAGTGTTTTTCTCTAAAACCAAATTGGTACTGCGGAATCCTATCGCCGATCTTCTGAAGTAGATGATTTTTAATAATTTTTTAAAAGTTTTTACCAATTACAGGTAGAAGAGTGATTGGTCTGTTATCACTTGGTGTTGAAGCAGATGTAGATTTAGGAATAGTTAAGATAATGCCCTCTTTCCATATTGATGGGAAGTAATGGTGTTTTAAACAGTAGTTATAAATTTTTAAGATGTATTCATGAATTTCTGGCACAAGATTTTTCTGTTAACATAGTCATGTCCTGGGGCGGAATTTTTTCCTTCTTGTAGAACTTTATAGTATTCTGTTTCGCTAATAGTGGGAGTGGTTAAGTTGACGTTTTGTACCTTAAAGAAATTGCTTTGCCAGACATTGATGTTGTTACAAATTTATACCTATAGGTATAGCTATAGCTATTTTCAAAATAATTTAAGAAGGCTGTGGCTATATCTTTATCTGATGTTAGTGTTTGGTTGTTTTCAATAATTTTGTGAGATTGGGGACAGTTTTCATATTTTGAAAGTTTTTTAATCTCCTTCCAATAGTTTTTCCTCATAGGTCATTAATGTTTTTACAAGCCTCAAGCCATTTATGTCTTTTGTATTGGGCAACCATATTGTGGACTAACTTATTATATTTGTTGAAGAGAGTTTTTAATTGAAGATCATTATTTTGTATAATTTCTTTGTACAGTTTTCTTTTCGTTTTCAGCATTGCAAGAATGTATGGTGGAAGATTGTAGTTAAAATATAATCTTTTTATTTTGGGTGTGTACACTCTTTTTCAGTTGTACTAAAAAAAATTTAATAGATGTTTTTTAAAATGATCTTTTCAAAGAGCAACAATTTAATAGCTCCATGTTTACTTTTTCAAAGTTGCATCTATCAAAGTTCCGGAAGTACTCTGGAATGGAAGCTGTTGGAAGTTGATGGCTGATAATTTCAAATTGAATGGCTAAATGATCAGTACATAAGTCTGGGAGAACAAATATGTTTTTTTGTACAGAGAATTATATCTGGCATGGAGTCGGGGTTATTGGCCATAATGAAAGTGGGAGGAGTTTTTAGTTGTTCAAAATTGAAATTATTTAAAAAATTAGAAATTTGTTTTTTCTTTTGCTGATTTACATTAAAATCTCCAATTATAATGGCATATTTGCACTGAGAGGCTTTAACAAAGATGGTATCTTCAAATATGCAGTTTATCTGCAAAAAAGGGAAGAAAGACGTGAAGAGTTTTATTCATAGGTTTGTTAATTCTTGGTGGATAGACATTTTACAGCCACCGTAATATAAAAAGAGATAAAAAATAGTTACTAGAGGTAAATTTGAACGCTAAATCCAAAAATGCAGTAATTTTTTAAAACCTTGTAACTTTAGTTACTATGTTTTACCAAAGTACGGCAGAATTGTTTCATGGAATTGGTAGAGGTGGGGGAGGTAGGCTTATACATATGAGTAATTCTTTTATAAACCGAACACCTTTTGACCGACACATCTCAGATTTGGCTGAAACTTTTTTTACGGATTCTATGTCAAAAAATAAGAGATACGTGTCCGAGGAATTTTTTTTCTCTCGCATATTTTCGATAATACAAGCTATCGAAAATTTGAGAATAACGAGTTTTTTGGCTTGGAGACTCATTTTCAAAAATTTATAACTCTGGTTTTATTTGAGCTACAAACTTCATTTTAAAGCTAAAGGACTTAATTTTGATAAAAAAATATTTTTAATAAATATTATTAACAAATTCATATTGTTATTAACAATTTCATTGTTTAAATCAATTTTTAACAATGGCCCCCACCTCGTATTAAGTTTTTAGTATTTTTATCGTATTCTCCGTCAAATTTTACATAAAAAACATGTTTTCAAAATGAAAAAAAAAAAAGAAGTTTGTAGCTCAAATAGAACCAGAGTTATAAATTTTTGAAAATGAGTCTCCAAGCCAAAAAACTCGTTATTCTCAAATTTTTGATAGCTTGTATTATCGAAAATATGCGAGAGAAAAAAAATTCCTCGGACACGTATCTCTTATTTTTTGACATAGAATCCGTAAAAAAAGTTTCAGGCAAATCTGAGATGTGTCGGTCAAAAGGTGTTCGGTTTATAAAATAATTACTCATATACAGTGTGTATTAAAACGAATAGATACACTTAAATAAAACAAGTGCCAAACCCCGCCCACTATGGTAGGGATTGAATCTTTAATACATTGTGATATATTAGTCCTGAAATGCTGTTTAACGTGCGCAGGAATTTTTATGATAGGCTAGGGTATTGTTTAACTGCTGCTGGTGCACCAGACCATGGTCTATTTGAACATTTAATTTAGAAAAAAGTTATTTTCGTTATTTTAGAATTATTTTTGTTTGCGAATTTATAGGTTTTATTTTTATCGAATTCGTTTGTGTTGTTTTAATGCAAATAAAAACTAAGTATTGTTTAAAATCCATTAAATTCCAGTTAATGGCGAAAATGTATTTCTTAAAAACTATAGACATTTCCCTACGACAGCGTCGGAGCTACTGAACAAACACAGTAGATCAAACTGCATGCCCTTGTATCTGGCTGCATGCCGCGCTGTTGCCATATGCTACTATTGAAAATTAACTAAATCAAATTATTTTTGACATATTATTAATTTTTTTGTTATTTTTAAAGTTTCAAACAAAAAAAGTTCAACTATTTATTAAATAATTATAATCGTTCTCTTCTGATTTAAAACAACCTGGCAACTATGGTTCGTGATTACGAATGGCTTGGTTTAAACCACGCCCAATTCAAGTTTGTTTCTTTTTCTCTGATCAGAATATAATTTGTCATCCTTGTCTCTAGCCTTACTTACTTGATTCTATACAGTCTGTATTATATAATAAATCATAATGTCTATTTTAGAACAAAATGCCCTCATTAAGAAGTTTTTCATAAGATTTAATACATCCTGAGATTATTCTAATTAAAGTAGTAACTTTACCTGTAGCTCTTCTTTTGCAGTATCTAAAGTTTATTGAGGATTATTTTAGACATTCACTAATTTCTTCATCCTTTATTTCATATTCCACTGACGGGGTAACTGCGGCATAGGTAAAGTTCGTGAATTTCCCTGACTGGAGCTTTGCTGTTTACAAAACTTTTTATGACAATTTAATTCATTAATTTTTGTAGTGCTGCCTTTAGAATCACCATTGATCTATCAGGTTTTAAAATAAAACCTTTTTAGTATTGATAACAACATCGTTTTTCGCCTCTCCTAGTAATGTCAAGATATCGCCCAATTGAATTGGATTCTTGTGAGATCTTCACTTGTGACAAAAATAGTTTTAATGTAGTTTCTATTGATGATTTGGTTCATTCTTAGGGAATAGTTAAAAAGTATTTAGAATTTGAGTTTTGTGGATTTTTAGAGATTTCTGTATTAGTTTTATAATTAGGGGGGCACCCTGTAGATTGATTTATGTTTTTATTATTGTGCAGTGTAGTTTTTTTTGTTACTGGTGTTTTTTTGTTGCCCTGTGTTTTAAGCGCCCCGAAAATTTTGCGTATTTTATCCTTTTCCGAATCATTTAATGATATTCTTTTATTTGACAATTCTTCCTTAGATATTTTGCGTTTCCGTTTTTTCAGACCTTCTATGACCAATTCCATTTCAATGCCAGTATGATCATCACCAAAGTCACTCATAATTTGAATTTAATTAATTAAGACTAAATTCTGAAAAATAGGTAATTTATTTAATTACAAAATACTACAAACTTAATTATTTATGGTACAATTAAAATATAAACTGTAGGGATAGAACGATACCGATATTGATATCGGTATATCGGCATATCGGCAATTGTTTCCGATTATCGGTATCTTATCGTATCGGCAAGATAATTGCCGATATATATCGGCAAAAAAAATTGCGCTTTTCACTCTTCAGTGCATAAATGAAATACTTTATTAAACAAAATAAAAATTTTCTTACTTTTAATATTAAAAAATAAGAAAAACAACCCTTTTAGGAAACAATAATAGCATATGGCAACAGCGCGGCATGCAGTTTGATCTACTGTGTTTGTTCAGTAGTTCCGACGCTGTTGTAGGGAAATGTGTATAGTTTTTAAGAAATACATTTTCGCCATTAACTGGAATTTACTGGATTTTAAACAATACTTAGTTTTTATTTGCAGAAATGCATTAAAACAAAACAAACGAATTCGATAAAAATAAAACCTATAAATTCTCAATCCCTACCACAGTGGGCGGGGTTTGGCACTTGTTTGATTTAAGTGTATCTATTCGTTTTAATACACACTGTATAAGGGGCTTCCCAGAAATCCTAAATGTCACTCACTACCAATCACAAACGTTTCCTCGCAACGGAATTAAAACGGGACTTCCCCGATTTTTGCTTCGGTCGTGTATAAATAGATGGCATTATGTTTGCCGATACGATATATCGGTATATCGGCACGTAAATATCGGTATCGGCCGATATATCGTATCGGCAAAAAAAAGTGATATCGTTCTATCCCTAATAAACTGCAATTTAGGTGACAACGCTGGTAAACTCGGAAAAACTACTGACAGGTGCTGTCATACAGTTTTTACACCTAGAAACCATTTGTAATTTAAAATTGCGCGTTTGTGATTGGTGGAAATTAAGACTAGGGAAATAGTCACCTAAATAGTAGCTTTTATCGCTACAAAACTGAAAAACACTCGTTTTCTGAAATCTGATTGGTCCATAAAATAATGAGTGGAAATGTCGAGAAAAAAGCACAGAATTTGGTTTTTCCACACCAAAAAAAGTTTCTCACATAATATGTTGCAATTTCCAAAAAGACAATAATAATTAAAATAAATCACCAAACAATTTCAAAAATTTTGTGTAGCAGAATTATTCATTAAAATAAAAAAAAATAAAATCTTACAATTGTTATTAAAAATTCAAATATATTGTTGCTTCTTTAGAGAACTAAACGGAATAACAATCTGCTACAAAATGGGAAACGTTCAAGACAGTCATGCTAATGGAGACACTGGTCCAACACCACCTGAAAGACCTCCCCGTACAGTGCCAATTTCTCCCAGCAACCCATCAATGTACCCAACTATAGCAAACAATGATGATCACGACTATGAAATATTAATGCCCCCATCAGGGCCCACAAGACCTGCCCCCAAACCCCCTGCACCGACAGTCCAGCATCAAAATTCTACACATACACTCAATTCTTGCTTTGGGGGACTTGAAGGAGTGCCATTTATTGTTAACCCAAAATTTATTACTACAGCTGGAAATGATAAGGTAAGAATTTTTTTACATTAATTGCATCCCATACAGCACAAGATGTCCATTAGACGTCAAATGGACTTACATTGGACGTTTGGATGTACAATGGTCGTCCGCTGGACGTCCAATGGATATATGTGCTGTCTGGGATGTTTGCTACAAAGGGATTAGTGATTTTAAGAACATAATGCGTCCTTTTCTAAATATACAATATTTTTATTAGGCAAAATTTCTTAATAACCTAATTCAATTTGTATTAAAAATTATTTCTTTCTGCAACCTATTTAGGCGTTTTTATTATGATAATCTTTTGGGAGCGTTAAATTACCTACAAAAATAATATTCCCTCATTTTTCTATTCATTATATTTTCCTCGGCAAAATAATTTTTTATATTTTAAATTACGTGTTTTGGGTCTAGAAAAAGTCAAATATAAATGTTGTTAGTAATACTTTTTTTACACAACAGATTTTAAATACAGTGTAGTTAATTATTTCATTAAGACAAGAAGTGAGTCATTTTGTGCTGAGCTTTAAGGTCGATGCGTAGCGGAGGCCTACAATTGAGCGAAGTACAAAAAGACCTTGGCCGAATTGCATACAACATTTTATCTTCCAGGTACAATATTATTTATTAACGTTTTACAAATAAAATCTTCAAAATATAAATACAAATGACTAACTAAATGTTTAATTGATTAAAAAATAAATAAACTATATTTTACTTATCTTATGACCATATGCACAAAACTTTTTAGTCAATGACTAGTAACTTAATCAATAAATACATTTTTATGTATGGACTAAAGTATCGCTTAAAGTTATTAAGTAAATTGTATTGTTATATTGCACCGAGTTTATTGAACATTACTATATAGCAAAGTGCAAATATATTGAGAAACAGCTCAAAAATATCTTTTAATTTCTGACGAAAAAAGGGACGTATTCAGATTCTGGATTCCAGAGGCGGATTTACAATTGTGCCGTTTATTGTGTAAACCAAATCGCCGCCCACACTGAGAAATAAATTGGTAATTTAGCATATATTTTAAAGCGGTTTTTAGATATTTTTAGAAGCAAAAGAAATAAAAAAAAAATAAAATATATTTATTTAGTTAATTTCGTGTAACCAGGTGGATCGGTATAGCCAAAGCGATATTTTTTTAAAAATGTTTTATTAAGGGCATGTTTAAACATAATTCACCTTCAAAATTCCATACAACACGGTTTTAAATATTTTTAGAAGCAAAAGAACTTCTTTTAAAGATGAAAAATTTAAAAATATATATACGCTAAAGAAGCATCGCTAGTAGCGCCACCACTGTTATTATCATAACAAAACTACAACTTTTAATAATCAGCTGTCCAACGCTTATGTTACAAACGAGTGTTTTTGAGAATAAAGCCGGAAAATGTTAAAAAATATCGAAAAAAAACCGTGGCACGATTTGTTGTGTTGTTGGGTGTATTTCGAGACGGTTGAGTTTTTACCGGTTTTCATATACATACAGTGTTAATCCGAATGGAGAAATAAATTTCATACAGTCCCTGTAAATATAAATTGTATGTATTAGATACAATAAATACACATTTTAGTAATGATTAACTTGAAAAGTGTAAATATTTCAATTCAGTAAAAATCGTCAAACAAATTGGTCGTCTAAATTTAAACAGCATTTAGCATTTCGCTATTAAAGAATGCACTGCTTTAGGCTGAAAGTCGATATCTCCATCGAGAGCCAGGATATAAGTGTTTGTGGATATAATAACCTTTTCTGCGTTGGTTAAATCCTTTCTATCTATAAGCCTAGAAAATAATGTAAAAAGTTCAATTCGTTAATCATATCATATTATACTTACTTATGTCCTAGTAAATAGTACATGTACATGACCTGGGACCACCTCTTCTTAGGTCTTATCTTGCTTTTGTCTTTTAAATGAGCATACAGTTTGGTTCCTCCAGGCAAAGTCCATTCTAATCTGCCACCGTATGGAGTAGGGGTTTTTATTGGGGGTGCCATGATGAACTTTTCGATGCCCAAAACTTCAGCAGGGGCTTTAGAAACGACTTCGATGAGATCCTTCACGAAACGGTTCACGTGTATTTCAGGTTCCTGCCTTTTCTTCTTCTTTAATACGAAAGCATCATCGAAGAATATGTGAGCTGAAACATATTAAAGTTAGGTAAACTTGTCGTGTTTTTTGGCTTTTTTTACTTTCTAGTTCGAAATAATTTCGTGGTATGTCGTCTTGAAAATCTTTCTGTTTTTTTAGTTTAAATTGTTCTTTATCGAGGCGTATTATGGATTTTAAAAATTCCATCATTTCTTCTCTTTCTTCGTGCCACATGGTTCCGCAAGCATATATTCGTGGATAGTTTTCTTGTTGCCTTTCGTCCGTCATGTCTACGCCTTGCATTGTCACGTCGTCTACTACTAAGTCATAAAGTTATTATATTTTTTTGTTTTGCCAATTACCTTCCGATTTCTCATTAGTTGGATGGTTCCTTCTTCTATTTAAGGCGATCGACTGATTAATTAGAAAAGCATCATACATAGGCTTGTAGAATAACTTTTTTCTACGCTTATTACGGAATTTGACAGTTCTTATATGACTTTTTAATCTGGAATTACGTATATTCCATAAAGTGTTACAGAATAATTATTCCGCACAGGTTCTAATGATGGAATGAGCACTGGGGGCGACATCTCTATGTTTATTTTATAACTCACTTGTTTTCCTACCAAATCTAGTTTTTTCAGAAAGGCCCGGTAGAAAATATTAATCGGTAGTATACAATAGGATTTAAAACAGTTTGCGTTAACAAAAATACTCAAAATATATCTTATTTACAAGCTAGTTGTAATTCTGTTTGGCCGATTTAGTAGGATTCTATTAGAATATTTAGGTTTGACTTAGTCCCAAAGAGATGGCAGCACTGGTTAATTGTTTACATCTGTCATTAGTTAATTCAAAATTTGAAATTCAAATAATAACTTAAGTTATAATTATTTGTCATTCCTTACAATTTGTCCATTTCTTCTTTATACTTCCTAATTTAGGTTCTGCATAATTATGTAAGTAAAAATTATCTTATTTACTACCATCATAAAATCTAACATCTGTCAAAAGATAACCTAACTTTTTTCCAATTAAATTATTTCTGTGGTATTTTTTATAAGCGTAGAAAAAGTATAGTCTGAAACACGTTTGGAATTGCATATTCCGCTCTCGTGAAACCGTCACACTCGCCTTCGGCTCGTGTGACAAACTTTTCACTCGAGCGGAATATGCTGTATTCCAAACTTGTTACAGAATATACTATTCTGTACGCGCCAATTTATCATCGACATGAGGGTACCAGATGTGAATAGTAATCCATGATTGTGAAAAAAGCATATAAACAAACACCATATAACAATTGCATGATTATAGTCTCCACTCAACGGTAAAATACCATTATATTATGTATTATATATAATATTATGTTGCCATGTTGCCATACGTAGGTATATTTTGTTGTTTAAAATGCAGTTATCGGCGTTTTTTTGCAGAACTCAAATATAAAAATGGTTGATTTTAGGTTATGGTTGTGCAACAATTATTTTTTACTAATTTCTTAAAAACTTAAATATAAATTATATTAGGGAAAGTTATCATTATTTAATTCTGCACCAACAAATGTACTTACGGAATTGGATCCTTTGGCAAAACATGAAAATACAACGATTTAGTTCTTGAAATTTATTTACAATTAAAAACACAATAATTCTATAACTATATAGTATAGGTATAAGCATTTAAGCGTTGAGTTTCTTAATCAATGATAATAATCAATCGAAATCGGGTATTAAACCAGTTTTTTAGTTTTTTCCTTGCAACGTAAAAGTTTACGGTAAAACACAAATAACGTGCGCGATTTAGCTGTGCAGTTGAACAAAATTTGTCGAGTAAGACTTCTGCCTTCCTTTCTTTTCTGCAAAAACTGTATTGTTGACAATTCTTAAATTCACCCAATGCTATCGAAGTCCACCAGATGGCGCGCGCGTTGCGAAAACCCGATACTTCTTTAGCATATATCCAGTTAATTTCTTGTAGCCGGGCAGATCGGTATAGCCAAAGCAATGTTTTTTCAAAAATGTATGTATCTTCCATATAAATTTCCAGCAACACAGATTAATATATTTTTAAAAGCAAAATTAATAAAAAATAAAAAAATTCATATTTAGTTTATTTCTTATAACCCGGTAGGTCAGAACCTACATGTAGGCTGCAGCCTGCAGCCAAAGCAATATTTTTGAATAATACATTTTTTTAACCTATAGGCATGTTTAGACCTTTAGGTGCAACATGGTTTTAGATATGATTACAAGCAAAAGAAGAAAAGAAAGAAGTATATATATATATATAATTTTAGTTTTGAAAAATCAAGGATGGCTTGAAAATTTTGAAAAAACTATTTTCCTCCAAAGTAAAGTACTTTTTATGTTGCCATTTGTTTGGAATTTACGAATCCTCGCCGAACTTTGATTTTTTATTTATTTTGTTAAGATAGAAGCTTTTTGGTAACAGATGCGTCAAAAAGTTATTTAGAAAATTTGTTTGAAATCAAAATCTAGACCGTACCACCTATCTGGGGACCTACTGTATATATAAAATCTGGCAAATAAATGTTTGTCGTTTCGTCATTGCCAGACTACAGTATATTAATATATCAATAGTTATTGGCGGTTTTAGAGACTTACCCCTTGGATACAATTTAATGGAAGCAGGGGGCCCCCACGCTCCAGTTCACTTTGAAAATATTTCACTAAATTAAAAACAAATCGCTGCTGTTCCTCATCTTACTGATTTCCGGGCATTATATTCAGAATGGTACGGTTTTTTGCTAAGATCGAATACTGAAACAATATGCCACATTAATTTTATTATAAAATTACCTTATTTGCTGCAAAAAAATCTGTAAAAATGAAAATGTATCTGTACCCCTGGGCCAAACTGTATTAAGACCACTTT